CCTCCTCCCAGGGCCGGCTGCCTGTGAAGTGGATGGCACCCGAGGCCTTGTTTGACCGTGTCTACACCCACCAGAGTGACGTGTACGTGGCCCCCAGGCCTCACGCGGGGGTGGCTTGGGGAGCTACCAGGGGCTGGGTCGTTCCAGGACTGGGCCAGGGGTGGGGCTAAGACCCAGCTGAAGCCCCATGGCCTCTCGGGCCTCCTGCCGCCCTCTCTTCCCATCGCGCCTGCACTCGGGGGCCTGTTCTGGGGCAGATGGGCTGCTAATGGCGCTGTGGCCCCTACAGCTGGTCCTTTGGGGTCCTGCTCTGGGAGATCTTCACACTGGGGGGCTCGCCGTACCCCGGCATCCCTGTGGAGGAGCTTTTCAAGCTGCTGAAGGAAGGCCACCGCATGGACAAGCCGGCCAACTGTACACACGACCTGTGAGTGCGCGCACCCACGGCCATCCCTCCTGGGGCCAGTCCATGGCGGTGATTCCTGCCAGGCCCTTCGCTCCCAAGGGCTTAGCTCATTACCCCACTTCAGTCTCTGACCTTGGGCAGGGTAAGGGGCCAGTGGCCCGTGAGGTCAGTCCTGAGGTGGGGACATAGGCACGGGCTGGGCGTGGGTGGGCAGCGGGCACTCGCCTTACCCGAGTGCCCCCAGGTACATGATCATGCGGGAATGCTGGCACGCGGTGCCCTCGCAGAGGCCCACCTTCAAACAGCTGGTGGAGGACCTGGACCGCATCCTCACTGTGACGTCTACCGATGTGAGTGTGGACCCCACTGCACTCCCCTGTGGGCTGGGACAGGGGTGGGCACAGTGCTGACCATTGCCCGCCCACAGGAATACCTGGACCTGTCGGTGCCCTTTGAGCAGTACTCGCCCGGCGGCCAGGACACTCCCAGCTCCAGCTCCTCGGGGGACGACTCTGTGTTTGCCCATGAGCTCCTGCCTCCGGCCCCACCCAGCAGTGGGGGCCCGCAGACGTGAGGGCTGCAAGCCTGCAGGCTGAGCCCTCCTAATGTGAGAGTGGACCCCAGCCCACCCCGTCGACCACTGGGGCCCAGTGGCCCAGGCCCGAGACCTGGCAAGGATGGATGGATGGACAGACAACTTCGTGTGCGCGCGTGCTGGTGCGCGCGTGCGTGTGCGTCTCGAGGTCCCCGTGCAGGGGTCCCCGGGGTGCTCGCCCTGCTGTATAATGACCTGGCCACCTGTGCCAGCCACACCAGGGGGACCGAATATAGAATGTAAGGGGCCCTCCCAGGCTCCCTCACCCCTCACTGTCACCCCACAGGGAGCTTTGGGGGCAGGCTGGGCTCTGGCGTGCCTCCCTCCCCAGCGGCACCTTGCACCTGGGGCGAGTTAGCACGCAGCCCCCACCTCCAGGCCAGGCCTCCCCACTTCCCACCCTATCCCTAAGAGACTTTAATTACGGGTACCTGAAGGCGGGAGCCTTTGACTTCTATCCGAAAGGTTTATTCCAGAGATGAGTGTACATTTATATAAATAGATGCTGTGTATGATATACACAAACATATATATAAAGATCTATATGGAAGAGGAAAGGCGGGGCCAGCTGAGGCACAGGACCCCGAGAGGGGGGTGGGGGGCGGTCCCCTGTGGGACTCACTGTTGAGACAACCGCAAAACCGGCAGAGGATGGAGGGGCTTTCCCGGCACCACAGTTTTGTTTTAAAAATTGTACCAGGACCTGTATATTTATAAAGCTATTTATGGACCCCCAGACCCTCTCTGCGCACCCCCAGAGCTGTAGTGTTTAGTCCACCGCATGGCAGCAGTTTAAGTCTTAACTTATTAACAGCTGAGAAGGTTTATGCTTCGTTTTAAGGGTTCCCTGAGGGTGTGCCCCATCTCTCGGCGCACCCAGCCTGCACCCCAAGGCCTGAGCAGCCCGCTCACACCCAAAGGGTCATTACTAGTGTGAGGTGACTATGGTGGGGATATTGTCTTTCCTTGGTCCTTTTGCAGGGGAACTAGATTTCTCTAGGATTTTTCTTTAGGAGATTTATTTTTTTGGACTTCAAAGCAAGCTGGTATTTTCATACACATTCTAATTGCCATGTGTTCCAGGCGGGGAGGCATTTCCAGTGGGGGCCAGCCCTGCACACAGGTTTAGATGTTACAAGTTTATATATATATATATATAATTTATTGAGTTTTTACAAGATGTATTTGCTGTAGAGTTAACACTTCTTACACAACGCTTCTACTTTCATAGCCCGGCTGCTACCTTTCAAAGCTTGGGAGGGAAGGCTGTGCATTCAGTTTTGTTGCTCTTTGTACTGTTACCGCTCCAAGTTTGGGGGGCTGTTCCCTACTTGTCAGCGAGCCGGCCTGGCGGTGGCTCAGGGTGGTCTGTTCTCAGGGCCGCAGCCTTGTGGGGGCCAAAGGTGTCGGCCCAAACTGGCAGACATGCTTTCCCAGAAATAAACAATGATTCAGTTCCGATCCCTGCTCCGTGCTTTCTTGCCTTCTGCCCTCCTGGGATCCTGAGCAGCTGTGTGTCCTCACTGCCCACCTGGACGGGTTCTCCTCAGCCCGCCCTGAGGAGGGAAGGGTCACCAGCTGTTGCTGGAATAGCAAATCCTGGGTGGCCCCAGACTGGGACTGGCTGCCTAGGTCACCTTCTCTCCAAGGGTTTCCAGCCCGAGTCTCTGGCTTGGTAGGCTCTGTCCTGGGCAAAGCCAGGGTGAGGGTAGTCCTGTGTCCAGCTGTATGGGGGCCCGACACTGGCCTCTGGGTGACGGAGGGGCTTCATCGCCTGGCTCTGGGGTCTCCAATGGCAGGGAATGCAGACAACCTGGTGTCCGTGGGAGGGGCAATAAGACCACCGTGAGGGAGAGCGGAGTGAGGAGGAAGGGCTTGGTGTGCTGAGCTGGCTGCCCCCAGCTCATGGAGTCCAGGTGGGCTCGGTGGTGGGGGGGGCATGTCTAAACACCTGCAGCTGGCTCCCACGTTCCCCCTCCTCACCCCAACCCTTGCATCTGCCTATGCAGTCGGCTGGGCAGGGTGGGTCCCCCAGGGAGCCACATGTCAGCCAAGCCTTCACCTAGTACCCGGATTCAACCAGACTCCAGGAGTGTGCCGTCTGTGCCCCCACCAGGGCTAGTGCCCCCTGCACTCCTCCACTCCTGTGACTGGGCAGATGCTGCATGCCAACCTCTTCCACTAGTTGGGGTGCTGAGGACCCAGTGACGGTACCCGGCCCCTTGTGCTTCAGGATTCACAGCCTGGGGGTGGGAAGACAGCTGGGCAGGAGGTGACAGCAGGGCAGCCACATGGCAGCGCTGGGGGTCGGGGGGGAGGCTTCCAGGAGGCGGCGGCAGTGCCCAGGCCAGGTGGGGAGACCAGCGTGGATTCAGGGACAGGTAGCAGGCGGATTTCCACAGATCCTGAATCCGGCGCCACCCAGGGCTGGCTGGCCGGCCCCCCTGGACTCACCCCTGCTGTGTTACCGGGCCCCCTTCCTTCCTGTCCTTCCTCACCTCTGGCCACCTTGAGGGACTCATCAGAGTAACTAGCCACTCTGGCTTCTGAGAGACTTGCTCCCCCTTTTGCTGTGTTAACTCACCTTCCAAGTGTCCGGGGTTTCTGGGGCCTGTTTGTGGAGAGCAGGCAGGCTGCTGAGTCTTGGTTCCAGGTAACAGGTGCCGCCCAATACTTCGACCCTACTCAGGGAAGGGCTCTGGCCTCAAGTCTCCACCCCCCACCCCCTCCTGCCTGCTAGAGCCTCCGTGTTTGTGTCCAGAGCTCTGGGGACACGCAGTGGGGGAGGGCGAGGGACGCCAACGAAGGCCTGAGCTGGGCGGGACAGCGTGGCGGCCGGCGGAGTGCGGGCCGGGGGCGCCCTCTAGCGTCGGCCGGGCTGCGTCCCCGCCGCGCCCCGTCTCCCGCCCCGCCGGCTGGGTTCCGGGTGCGCACTCGGGACACCGGGAAAAGGGGGCGGAGGAGCCTGTAGGGACGCCGATGGAGACGTCGGCGGGGCGGGGGCCGAGTCGGTCCGGACAGGCGCGGGCTGACAGGTTGGGGCGCTGGACAGACAGGCACGTGCAGCACGGTCCTCCGAGCCTCCCCGCCCCTCGCCTGGTTGACTCCACCTCCTCCCGCGGCCTCGCCCCCCACCTGCCCAGCTCCACCTCCAGGCCCGTCCTTGCGTTCCGCGGGCCCTTCACGGCCTGGGATGGCTCGCCTGGTCCCTCGTCTTGTTCCCAGCCTACGACCGCCAACCGCCTCCTCCGCTAGTCTGGACACCAACCCCACGCCCTCGTCCAGTCCCCAGCCGGGTGTGTGAATCGGACTCCATGCCTCTGTCTCAACCCCAAGGTCTTAAAGGGGGCGTCACCACACGTGAACCATGCGCTTCCCGCCCGAGTGGGAAGTCCTCAATCGCCCCACAGCGTTTGCCGGATGTTTTAAATTAGGACCCCATCTGGCTGCCTCTCCTTAGCGTCTAATCTGGAAGAGCCCCTGCCCGTCCTCCCTCTGCTGGTAGCTTTGAGGGGGGACAGCTGTGTCCTGTGGGGCTGGCCAGACTTTCTTGGCTGGGGTCTGGGGCGGGAAGCTTCCCGGGGGTGAGGGTGTAGCAGGGCCTGGGCACAAGCCAGCAGCACTCCCCCAGCGCCCCAACCCCCAGACCAGAGCACCAGGGGCGCTGCGGACAGGTGGATGGGGCCCAGCGTTTCCGTCGTCCTGTTCCCAGCCTGGAATTCACAGAGGGCTTCTGATGGCCTAATTGTCTCCTGAGAAGACAGGGCAGTACCTCTCTTTTTACTCACCTGTTTTCAGTGGGAAATTGGTGTGATGACCCCCATCTGCAGGGCAGATGAGCTTTTTCTCTTCCTGCGCATCACTGCGGTGCCTGGGTTTTGTTTACAATCAGCTCAGTATTCGTTCTGTCTCTTCAGGCTGACTGCTGTGTGCCCTGGACCTCAGCAGGTGACCCCTGCCCCACGGGTGTCAGCCTTTCCAGATCCCTGGTGCCTTTACGTGGTCTTCCGAACCACGGATTCACATGGCCTCATGTCCTGGGGCGTCCGCTGCAGTCCTGCTCAGGCCCGCAGATGCCCACAGGCCCACACAGCACCTGTCCCCGGCCACCAGCTCCCAGGGCCTGGCCCGAGGATGTACCCATAGTGAACGCATGGTCCACATGAAGAGTCTGGGTGCTTGCTGGGGACACCCCAGTGAATCTGGGTGGGCACCTCTTGTCCTAGAGCCAGGGGGAAGGCAAGGGCTGAGGCCACACCTGCACCCTCAAGACCTGTGGGTAGACAAGGACAGTGGCCCAGGCCAGTCTCAGGGAGAGATGGGACACGGGCAGGCAGCCCTCAGGGTGTCGGGACTCAGCAAGTGACAGAAGCCCACATGGCCCCGAGGAGCCCAGTGCCAGTGCCAGCGCAGGGGTGAGGCCACCTGAGACAGGCTGGACATCCTGGGCTAGGCTGGGAGAGGGGTAAGGGCTCTGTCCACTGAGGGACCGGGCGGGCAGGGAGACCACTTTGTGCCTGTCCTGCTGCTAGGATCCTCTGCCAGTGACCCTCACGGGCTTCCCTGCCCACCCTCCAGGCCAAGCCTCTCTCAGGGAGGGCACCCCTTGAAGCCCAGCACGTGGGCTGGGGAGGCCAGGGCAGCCTTGCAGAGGTGGTGGGCTGCCCCTGCCTCCATGCCCCCTAGGCTCTTTGGGCCCTGTCTGTGGTGTGGGAACAGCTTCCTCAGGCAGCAGAGGCCACTGTCCTTGGGCAGCACTGTCCCTGCCCCCAGGGGCCCTCAGAGTCTTCCAGAACATAACTGTGCTCTCCCGGGTGATCCCTCGGCCAGGGTCCCAGCACTCCCTGCCCGGTAACTGGCTTCTCCTGGGATCCCCGGGCCTGAGGCGCTCACCGATGGCTCGGCTGGGGAGAGCCCGGTTAGGCAGTGGCCACCTCACCAACCTGGATAAATAATTCATCGCATGGCAACAGGTCATCAAGATAGCACTTTATTAAACCTTCTCCTTACATCAAATTGGGTGTCTAGTCACCAGCACAGGGATCAGTCTGGGAGCACAGTGTGACCAGGGGACGAATAGTGCACACTGTCACAGAACAAGAGACATCTGAGACCAGGGCTTGACCTCCAGAAGGTGAAGGTCCCTGAATCTGGCCTCACAGCAGCACATCCAGGCCCATGGCCACTCACCATGCCCTTCTGCTGCAAGGCCAGAACCAGATCCCGGGCCACACTGCTGTCACAAAGGCAGACCTCAGACAATCGTGACATTTTCCACCTTGACTTCTGCCATGTCACAGTTCAGAAATATGACTTTAAGCTGTTACAGGAACATTAATTTGATTTTTCAATAAAAACATTATTTCTAAAAAAGGCGTAAACCCAGGACAGAGACTCAGGTGGCGCTGGCCCCAGGACCCTTGGAGGACCTGTGGAAACCGCCAGCACTTCCCAGGGTCCAGGAGGTGCCACCCCAAGACCCCACTGTGAGGACTACTGGCTGGAGGTCATTCTGCAAAAATTACAAGGTGCCATCATTTTTAAATCTGGATTTTCATGCTCTATCCAAAACGACTTCGGAAGCCCTGTGCCAATTTCCTGAATCTCTACTGAAGAACTGAGCCTTTAGGTGGAGTGAATGAGGGGACATGTGCTAAGGACTCCTGGTTCATTTTCAGGCAGGCACAGAGAGGACGCTCCTAATGGCATGGGCGGTCCAAGCGCAGCTGCCTCTCAAACACCTTGTCACACGAGACTTATTTCTACGCCCATCATTTGTCATGCCTGCACCTGGACCCTAGCTTCAGCTGCGACAAATGTTCAGGACATAAAAGCAAACGGAAACGAAGGGGGGAAGGCTGTAGCAGACTGTCGCCAACATCACAAAAGCTGAAGGTGCCCGTGCCAGGTGCGTGTGCAAAGCCCCTGCAGCATCAGCCGGTGGCGTCCCACCAGGCAGACAACCGGAGGGCGGTTCCGGAGCAGGAGGGCAGCTGCATCCTGCAGTGACAGCAGTGCTGGGTACGCAGGGCGCCCGGGAAAGGAGTGAGGGTGAGGACAGGAGCCAGGCACCCTGACTGGGCCCAGCACACCGCTCACCAGGGAGATGGCCACCGGCACGGGCATGCTGGCAAAGCTCAGGAGCAAGCTCTCTACAGGGAAATTCCGGCCACAGAAACACGCGAGACAGCTCCTGAGTCGAGGATGCACATCTGGGGCTACTGCTCAAATAACCACCCAGCTGTTACTGTACAGAGGTTTCATCTCAGAGTACAAAATCCTATTTTGTCAAGTTTCTTCCTCAACGGCCTAGCAAGAAGTTTCAAGTAATTCAGACGCTCTCATTTCCGAGTCCTGGCGAATCTGGCCCCCTGCTCCTATGTCTTCCATTCCTATGTTTGGAGTCTCCTGAAAGAACGTTCTTGCAGGTAACCGAAAGGACAGAGGCCACTGGACGCCCATCCCCACCAGTCCCAGGCGGCCAAGTGCCTATGCTTCTGAAAGCCCCATGGGGCACCCACCACAGCACCGGGACCAGCCAGTTGCCAGCTCGTGCTGAAGGAGCCAGGCCGAGGGGGTTGCAGGCACATGGACACACCGGTTCGGGGCCCCCACTGGACGGCCGCAGAGTGTTATCTGCTCCAACTGCCCACAGGGCAATGAGGTGGGAACGATCCAAATTAGGAAACGTTCTAAAAGCCACAACAGCACGATGAATCACTCAGACATAAAGTGCTTCATCTGCGAGGGCTTCATTCGTATCTCTCACGCTGTGCTTTACAATGCTAGTGCTCACCAGTCAGGCAGACTAGACTGGCGGGTGAAACTCTGGTTAACTGGTTAAAGGACTAGTTGAAAATCAAAGGGAAATCAACAAAGAGCTGATAACACGCAGAACAGGAAACGCGCACGAAGACACTGTTTTCCAGAGGTTTGGTGCCATCAATGGACGTTTTCTCAATGGTTATAGACAGGACTGGCAGTGGGCACAACTGCTCCTACTGACACATTCAGGAAGTCATGTCCGCAGACTCAGTGTCTTCTCCAGGGCTGAGGAGGGCGTGCTGGGGGTCCAGGCGGCCAGTCCTCTCCTCCTGGGGGCACTGCCAGGGCGCAGGCCCGAGCCCACCTGTGAGCCAGGGGGCCGCTGCGGCCGCCACAGCGTGAATGCAGACACCGTTCCCTGGAGGGGCTCGGGGCTTCCAGACTGACTGAATCTTCATGGAATGATGAAAATTAAAAATTACTTGATTACGGAAGTTTCTGATTTATTCCAGACAAAATACTAGGTTTGTCACTAAGAATCACCTCAGGGCAATCGCGGCTGTGGCCGGAGGCAGTGGCGGGCGGCTAACCCTTCACCTCAGCAGCCTCCTTCTCGGCCTTCTCCTTGGCCTTCTCCTTCTCCTCCACCTTCTCCTCTTTCTCCAATGTCGCCACGATCTCAGCCACCTGGCTGGTGGAGATGTGTATGTCTTCTTTGTCCACCAACTCGATCACCTACACACACAGGAAAGGGACAAGGGACTCAGGATCTGTCTCCTCGGCCACCAGAACTTGCATGCTACACTGTCCTGCCAGGGGTCTCCTGAGGTCCTCACTGCCCTGCTCCTCAGAGTACCAGACCCCGCCCCCCCGCCTCAGGGGGCCAATAGGCCCCAAAGCCCCAGGTCAGGTTCCAAGCTGCCAGGGGTCCGGACTGCAGGAAGGAATGTGACAGAAGGTGGGCCAACAGCACAGCAAGGCTGCAGGCCTCGTCCCTGTGGGGGCCAGGGACTACCCTGGACAGAGGCCCCTGGGCAGAAGGCTGGGCTCAGATGTCCGAGCTGCTGTCCACACTGTGGGCTTGGGCCTCCCAGCCTGTGCTGCTGGCAAGGCAACGACGTTCGGTGAGTGCCTCGCTGCCCACTGAATGGAACTAAACCAACAGTAGTGGCAAGTGTGTGAAAAACTAGTGCCAGCTGGCCCGACAGGAGCCATTAGAACCACCTGTGAAGGCTCGCCCTTCGCAGACTTACACACTCCCATCCCAAGCGCCCTGAGTTGCCCAAGCTCTTGGCACCAGGGACCCGAGTGACACCCTCAGGGTCACCTCTCGGGCCTCAGGTGGCCCCCCCCCACACCTGGCTCTGAGGACTGCACGTCTCCTCTGGGGGTCTGCACGCCCCAGTTGCCTCACCACCAGACCCAGCCAGGGCCACCGTGTCCTGTCATAAAGCAGGTGGCCTGTTCCAGAGGGACATTCTCACCAGACTTCTCTTCACTTGGTGTGCAGAGTGAGGGCTGAAACCAGGCCGCGGGGCCTCACGGCTCCCTCAGGGGAGCCCGCCAGCCCTGACGGGGCCGCCACCCACCTTCACAAGGTCGTCGATGTTGATCTTGCCGTCCTTATTCTCGTCCAGCGCTGAGGCCAGGCTGATGAGCTTGCTTTCTGGAATGTGCTTTATCTGCTTCATGGCGCTGATGAGCTCAGTGACGCTGATGACAGTCTCCCTGGGGGGACAAGCTGCATGTGGCACGACTGGCCCGCACCCCCATCAGCCCCGCCCTCTAGGCCTCCCGCACCCCCCCCTTTGGGGACGTCCAGCAAGTGAGTCCAGGATCCTGTGTGCAGCCGCCAGACAGCCCAGCAGCTGCCTGTGCCCACTGGGTCGTGTTCCTCAGGCCTGGTGGCACTGCAGTCAGCATGGGACCACATGGCACAGCAGAAGGGAATGCCAACCTCATCTGGGGGTGAAGGGCCTGCCCCCCCAAGAGCACTGAGTGTCAGTTACTACCACCTAGTGGGTGGTTTCATTCACCCCACAGCTGCCGCTACCCTCCTGCCAGGCATCTGGGACACACCAGTGCAGAGGTGGCCCGGCCCCGCATTAGAAACGGTGGTCTTTAGACTGCCTGCCTGTGTGTCAGGGTTCAGGAAGAGGGGGGAGGCAGGAGGGGCCCAACGGTGAGGAAAGTGGAGGCGAGTGTGGCTGAGGCCAGAGGGCACATGGCTTCCGGGGGGACTGGGAGCCACCATACACTTTGGAAGGGCCAGCGAGCAGGCAGCCTGGGGAGAGATGTGGGTGAGGGCAGACGCAGAGTGGTGTGTGCGAGTGCACAGTGTGTGCGGGGTGAGGGGCTCAGGGCTGGCAGGAAAATGTGATGGGCAGCTGGGCACCCAGGCCGAGAGCTGCACCTGAGTCAGAAAGGCACGCACTCACCCCGTGGACGAGCCCTGGGCAGCCGGGCTCAGCCTGCCAGCCTGCTGGTCAGCCTCCAGCTGCGTGAGCAGCCCGTCTATCTGGCCGATCATTTGCTGCACCCTCCTGGTCAGCCTCTTGCTGGCTTTAGACTCTTCCACGTCCATTTCTTTCCCAGTCTTTGAAAGTTCCTTCTTGATCTCTTGCAAGTCCTAATGAAATTATTTAGTTGTAAAAAGACTGTCTTCAAAGCAAACCTGACCCTGAAGCTTGCTCTGTAATTAAATTCCTCCAAAGCAGCGTCCTGAGGGTGAGACGCCCTAGGATGTACCCACTGCAGCCACATTAGTCTCCAGCACATAAATGTGCTCATTTTTGCAAATTCTAACGTCGTTTTGTGGCAAAGGAAATGGAATCTGCTCTGAGCCCCAACTTCCTTCATGTTTTGTATAAAATAAATGAGTAGATAACAGAATCAAGCAATGATGTCTCCTTAAATTCCAAGCCAGCTGTTCCCCAGAAGCGAATCTTGCAGGGAGGGTGGAGCGGGGACGAGGAAGAGGCCGAAAGTGTCTGATAAACCCGGCTTCTGACAGGACCCACAGAGTAAGAGGGCTGCCAGAAGAAAGTTTGGGAAATGGCAAATTATTTTTACCAATCTCAAAATTAGTCATCTGTTCCCAACAGAGCTGTGAAAACATGGTTCTTCTAAATCAGAGTAGGGAGCAATGTTTATAAACCGAAAAGACATGCTTTCCTTAAAAAAATCAGTAACTGAAGGAAGTCTCTCAGGGAATCAAAAATGAAAATTAGATGTCACTGATCAAATGACTAGATTATTCACATGATACCCTCACATGTTTAGAAACTAAAACAGATGTTTGTCATCTGCAGGATGACAGGCCAGCTTCAAGGAGAAAGTGACCCAAGGCAATGGCTGCAGGGAGTTACTGAATAAACTTACTAAGATGGCAGTTTTCTCTCAAATCCCCTCTGGCCAGCTTATCAAATATTTGATGGAGGAGTTACTGGCCACCAGCAGGCAGATGGCGACCAACTGTCTTTGCAGTAGTCTCAGAAGTAAGCCCCATGCCACCCCGGGGTGGGGGATGGGCGCCTGCACCCCCACCGCACCTCGCTGTACTCCTGCACATCCCCTTTCAGCAGCTCCAGCTCCTCTTTCTCCTTCGTCAGCGACATCTTCTGTTCCTTCAGCTTTGAACAGGCGTCGCTAAGTATGTCAATTTCCTCCTTGGTGATTTCCTCCTCCTGGGAAGAAAACACGCCAGATACCTGGTGGGAAATCACCTGCACAGGTTGTATTCAGGATGCATGGTGGGGTCTCGGCTCCGCGAGGCCAACAGAGCACGTGTGGACACCGTCTTGTCTTCTCCAGAGGAGTGCGCCCGTGAATGTGTCATCTGACACGTGGACACTTGCGAGACTAGCACCACGCGAAAGCGTCTCGGTCACCCCAACGGCCCTGTGGCCCCTTTCTCCCACGGACCTGCCTTCCCTTGAGAGACTAGTTTGCATTGCTGGAACTGTACGCACAAGCACGTGACATCTGGCGGTTCCTGTGTTCTGCCTGACCCCTGACCCCGACCCCCATGCTAGAGTGTCCCCCTAACTGCTGAGCGCCACTACATCGAGTGCACAGGCCCGGCTTTCTCACCACCGTCTTGGCTCTTCTAGTTCCTTTGAATTTCCACGTAAGTTTTAGAATAAAATTGCGAATTTCAACAAAGAGGCTGCTGAGATCTGAGGATCCCAAGTCTAAGGCAGCTGGGGACAGTCCCCCATCCACAGTGCACACGTCTCTCCACAGATTCAGCAACATTTACAGGGTTCAGTGCACACGTGCTGCACATCTAGCTGATCTATGCTCAGGTGCTCCCTTGTTTGGACACTACTAGAAATGGTACACTTTTGAAACCCCCAATTTCTGTTTATCCACTAGCAATACAGGGCAGCATGGCTGATTTTCAGATGCTCACACCACTGTGAACAGTCTCACTCCTCATTCCTGACCTGCATGGCTCTATGCCCCTTACCTGACTGTCCTGACCAAACGCTCAGTACACAAGCTGAGAGCGGGTGGCCGCACCAGCGTGTCATCGTTCCTACGGGGCTCAGAGCCGCCCCCACCCCTGCTCTGCTGCCTTATCAGGAAGATGCTGGGTTCTGTCCAATGCTTTTCCCCACACCCACTGAGGTGGTCGCACACAGGTTTTCTCCCGAGTCTAATACAGTCATTACACTGTCTGATGTTTTATTCCCTTGAAAACCCCCATGAAGTCATGCTATCGTCCTTTTTATGGCTGCATTCCATTTGCCGAAAGTCTCATGAGGCCCTGCTCTGTTTTCTGTGCCTATCTGGCTTTGCATCAGGGAATCCCCAGCTTAGACCCTGGGACAGTCCCTTCTCTCCGGCTTTCCACCAAGAGAGCAGCACTGCAAGGGTGTCTTCTGTGCGGGGGCCACCAGTAGCCTCCATGAGAGGCCATGGGGCTGGGCTGCTCTGTGGGAAGCTTTTCAGCTACAGACCAACGTCCTTCCTGGGGCGAGCCGCTCCGCTCTGGGCCAGCGCTGACGAAGCCCGGTCTGCAGGCCCACGGGGAAAGGCCTCCTTTTCTCCCACTCTCTATGGTGTCTTTTCAATGAACCCTGGTTCTTCACTCCAATTTTTCAGATTTGTGTTTTCTTGCTGAAAATTTTTTGGCATCCTTAGTTCGTAAGTTCTCCAGGGAGTTCTTAAAGTTCTTTCACATCTAAGTCTTTAACCCACTGGAATTGGAAGACGGCCAGCCGTCTGGCCCTATTGACTACAGGTGCCCAGAACCCCCTCCGTGGGCCGAGCCATTCTTCCAGTCTCCACCGCTGTTCGGCTGTCGCTACCCCAGCCCCACACTACCTTAAAAATGACCCTTGTACCTCAGTCCCCAATCCTTACCAGGTCACCCTTCAAGTCCAGCTCAGCCAGGCTCCCGGCACCCCCTACCCCCAGCTTGGCCAGGCTGCCGGGATCCCCTTCCTCCTGGCCTCAATGCACCACTAACACCGTGTGTTCGCTTCCATCTGTCCCCTGGGCTGTCTCAGGAGTGGCCTGGCCTCCCCCGGGCCTCAAGGCCATCGCTGGACTGAAGCAGAGGCCCACCAGGCTCATCCAAAGCCACGCCGGGCTCCAGGCACAGCCAAACCCCCGCATACGCTGCAGCCACATCCCATCCACTGCCCCACCCTTCCCAACACTGCTCCTGCGGGCCACAGCCCACCTCTGGCACGAGCCCTGTCTGGGCGCCTTCTCTCTTCCGTGAACAGTCGGGATCTTAGCGGGACCTCCCTCTCCAGGAGAAGGACCTGCAGCAGGCTGGCGTCCCGGCTGCTCCGAGGTCCCTGCAGTGTGTCTTTACCTTCTGCCTCTGCTCCACAACTGCCCCTCCCAAGGCCACTGACGCCCGCATGCTGCCCATCAGGGGTCAATCCTCAAGCCAGCCACCTGGCCCTGAGCACACCCTCCTCCAGACACATGCCCCCACCGATGTGTCCGTCCACACGTTCGCCTCATGGGTGGACCCGCCATGGCCTCACTCAGAATCCCGACATAAACGTGCCACCCAGGTCTCTCCCACTCCAGCTGAGTGGACACGGCTGTCTGCCTGGTGGACACCTCCTCCCTCACGTGTCCCACACACTGTTCTGCCCAGGGTGCCCCTTGTCCCAGGCCACTGGGAGTTCCAGACAGAAGGTGTGCCCTGTGGGGAGCGGCTCCCCCAGGACGGTGAGACCACTGGAAACAAGCACTTTCACATCATAGGCTGGGGTGCCTGGGCCAGGGCTACAGGGGAAGGGGGCGGGGGGGCCTCTGTGGGGAAGCCACACCAGTGTCCCCTCCAGCTGCCTCACCTTCACTTTCCAGGCACGCAGGCCCGAGGCTGGCCCCTCTCACACCAGGCCTCCCAGGAGCATCTCCGACTGGCAGCCTCACTCTCCTCCCCCTCCTGCCCAGGCCCGCCCCCTGCCTCCCTCCTGGAAGTGCTCAGGTAGCAGGTACCTTCACGCCCTCCAGGACGGGGGCCGTGTCCTTCAGGGCCTCTGACGGCAGGATCACATCGGCCACTTCCGGCTGCAGCGGGGCCACAGGTGGCGCAGGGGTAGCTTCCATTGCCACTTCCGGCTGCACTTCCTTCTGGAACACAAGGCCACTGCGGCTCAGCACCACACATCACACCAGAGCCCCCGCGGCATCAACACCAGCACACACGTGCCACTGGCCAGAGGGCAGTGTGAACAGGCCTGCTGGGCGCCGGTCAGTGTGTGAAAGCCCACCCAGCAGCCACGGTGACCCGCCTTCCCCAGGCCTCCCAGCAAGACTCCCCATGTGGGGGGCTCGGAGGGACCAGGTACATCTACACTGCTCACGCAGCTGTGCCCCGATGCTCACGGGGTTACCCGAGGGCCCTAGAAGTCCCAGCATCTCCTTTCCTATTTAAGTCCTTTCCTGATGGCTGAATGCAGCTACCCTGCGACCTGCAGACTGAACACCTTGTGTGCACAAGTGCCAGGAGCGGGAACAACCCACGGCCTGGGCCGGGGTCTAAGCTGGACCCCTGCGCTGACCAGCACTAGGACCAAGGGAGAGCCCACCAACTCACGCCTGGCCCCCCAGGCATGCCCCACCCCCAGTATTCCAGGAGGAAGAAAGGAGATGGAATTGCACAGCCCCAGGCACTGATCCAGGAGGCAGCAGTTCCTCGGGAAGCAGGGGCAGCTGCCCTTTCATCTGCCCCAGGTCCCAGCGCCACCTACCGCCGCCGCCGCCTCCTCGGAGAGCCTCTGCAGCTCCTTCTCGCGTTGCTCCTGCTGGATGGCCGCCTCCTCCTGCAGCGTGGCCTCCAGCTTCGCCTTGTTGTCCACCTGCTCGCCCTCCAACTCGGCCACCTTCACCTGCGCCTCCTTCGCCTTCAGAGAGCAGACACTTGTGAGCAGCGGGCACGCCTACAGAGAGGCCCTGCAGCCCCTGCCCACGTCTGTCATTGCCATCGGGGATGCCACAGGCCAACGGGCACATTGCTGGGACCCAACCCGACAAGGCACCCAAGGGTCACCTTCTCCTTGTACCACAGCCGTCCTCACTACTCAGAGAAAGGACAGATGCGAGCAGGTGGAGAGCTGGGGGATGGGCCCGGGGCTCGGGCGTGTGTTTCCACGGCCCCTCCCCTCAGAAGCGAGGGGTCTCCAGCAGCACGCACCACAATCTCGGGCAGGGTCTGCAGCGTGGACTTGAGCTGGTCGGCAGGTGACAGGGTGTCTGGCAGATACATGGCACGGGACAGGATGAGCAGCGACGTTGGGATCTCCTGGTGCAGGTGCAGCTCCAGCCACTAGAATTGGGGTTCAAGACCCAGACTTATGAGCGGCTTATCCCGTCCACACCTGGGACCTGGGTGAGGCTTCTGGTCTGGTTGGGGGAGGGGTGGAGGAGCAGACTGGACCGGAGTCGCTGGGACGCGTTCCCAAGCTCTGCCAGGTCCATTTGCTGTTGCATTTCATGACTCGATCCTACCTGAGCCGCTGAAGGACCGGGAATTGGTGCCCCGGACGCCAGGCTTCAGGGCGCAGGAACCTGGGAGGGATGGCCAGGTTCCCTGCTAGCAAAGCTCCTCATTTATTTTATTTTTTTATTATTATTTTTTTTTAGCTGAGCCATCCTGCTACGCAGCTCAGCGGCTGCTCAGCTCGGGCTGGACTCGAACCGCTGTTGCTCAGAGCTCAAACTCGAGTGAGCTCTTAACCAACTGAGCCACTCGGCCGGTCCGCAAAGCTCCTCATTTAAAAATGGCACACAACTCTGAAGGGAATTCATTCCACATTCACGGTTTTACACACCCACTATGGGCCAGGCACTGTTTAGGCTATTTTAGGGTTGAAAAGACAGCATTCAAACTGACCAAAAAGACCCTGACAATGTCTGGACAAACTCTGGACACAGGACAAAAGATGAGATGAGAAGGAACTGTGAGAATAGGGACAAAATGCCAAATAGAGGTGGAATAATCAGAGAAAAACCCAGAGCACTTGAGTCAAAAGGTCTGAAAGTCTTGGGGGCACTAGCCCACACTCAACTGCCGTGAGTGTGCTCCAGAACACAGTAAAGCGCCAGGCCCTCCAGCACACACAGGGCCACTGGCACTGCAGAGCAGGGCCTGCTGGGGAACCACAGCGCAGGAGGCTGGCCGCGCTGCGTGGGGGGAGGACCCGCACCTGAGCTCCAGGACGCCAGCAGCAGCAGCGTCAGGAGGCACGGCTGGCCCTGCACGCCTTATACCTTCTGGCGTGAGGTTGGATCACGGGGCAGCCCGCCTTGCCCAAGCCTGACCACTCCCACTGCTGCTGCTGGGCCGGCTACACGGGGACACGAGTGCACAGCAGGGCGGGAACGCCCAGTGCGGTTCAGAGGCGTGCAGTTTCCAAGGACGTTCACCTAGCCCTCACCTGTCTGCAGGTGACCGGGAGGAGATAGAAAGGACGTCAAGCACGGGGCAGGTGGCCAACACTGAGCTTTGCAGGTGCCAGAGGATCAGGTCACCACACATCCTTGTCCAGGCCCCAGCCAGGCGGGGCTGAAGGCCAAGGCAGCACGTCACAAAGTCCACTGCCGTCCACGTGCGCGTCCATGTCCTCGGCTTCCCAGTGAGCCCATTAGGGGCGGGAGGGGGAGCCCACACAGCACACGCTGGCCCAGCCGGCCCAGTGCCACGCACCTGCTTCAGCTGGTCCCGCAGCCGGTCTTCCGTGACGCCCAGGGCCCGCATGCCTCGTGCCCGACACGCCGCCTGCAACTCCTTCACGCTGAGGCTGTCCACCCCTTCCTCAGCAATCAGCTGTAAAGAAAGTCAATCGTCTGTTGTCTGAAAAGCCACTAGAAGGTCACAGTGCTTATGGTCCACGCTTGGGGGGGACTAAGTGTCTCATTACAAGCTACTTTCCATGTGCTTTGCGAAGTACCAAACCACCACCACCAAGGCCCCAGTTCTGGGTTTGCAGGGACAGGGACCGTCTGCTGGAGGGAGGGGACCTTGCAGAAGTATGCAATGGCCAGGACAGCCCCAGCCTGAGGTTTGCAGAACCGTCTTGTCCTCAGGGCTTTCTCAGGATTTGCAGGATGGCAGAGGAAGGACGGAGAGCAGGAGAAGGGGATAAGGGTCCCAAGATGTCTCTTGGCCTCAGCCAAAGGCCCTCCACTCCCAGGCTGAGGACACCAGCAAACAGGTGTCCCAGAGACAGGGCACAGAGCATGGCATCGAGAAGACAAAACCAGGAGTGAAGAGTGAGGAGGAGGAGGAGACGAAGAACAGCACTGGCTCGTCTGTGCCGGCAGGTCCGACTCCCCACCTCACCCGGCCCCATTTCTCACAGTGATCCTGCGAGGGAGGCCGTTGCCTGTTTTCTTTCTTTCTTTTTTTTTTTTAAAGATTTTATTGGAAAATTGGGGGAGGGGAACAGCACTGGGGAATCGGGGAAGGGAAACAGACAAGTTGCTGTCCTTTTGTTCTTCAGTCTAGTTGTGGAGGACGTTGCTTCACTGGCCCATGTTGGTATTA